TGGGAGCAAAAAAGCCTTCTTAAGCAAGACACAAACCAAGATAAAGAAAAGCCATAAAGAAAAAAAATGGAATATGTGGTGACAGAAGAATCTAACTATGGGGGTAAACACACAATGCAATATATATATGCCTTATTATTAAATTACTGGATTTCATAAACCAATGTCGCCAAAAATTAATTAATTTTAAAAAATGGACAGATTCAACCAGTATTTGCATATAAGAGGCAAAGAATATCTCGAATACATAATGAACTCCTATTTGATATAAATTTTAATGGGCAAAGAATATGAACAAGTAATCCACAGAAAAATAAATATAAATGGCCTATAAAACACATGAAAAGACATCCAACACCACTAACAATGAGATACCATTCTTTGGTTTTCTAACTGGCAGAACAATGACAATATCCAGTGTTGATGATCAATATACGCAAGTTTATGAAGACAATTTGGTAGTATTTATTAAAATTTAAAATGTGCCTGCCCTTTGACCCAGTTATTCTACTTCCAAGAATCTATCTTACAGAAATAATAGTATATGTATATAAAGATATGTATATATATGAATGTCCTCGGTCTAGGTGCATTTTTTTATAATAGCAAAAAAAAAAAGAAATCTAGAAACTGTTCAATTATGGAATAGTCCCAGAATGGTATATGAAATTCTGAAAAATGTGTATCCTGGGCTGAATAGAGGTGTCCCCCCCAAATTCATGTCCTTCTGGAACCTCAGAATATGACCATATTTGGAAATAGAGTAAAAAAGATAGGGAAGAAAGGCACAAAGCTAAGAGCAGGGAGACTGTTTTAGTCACTGCTTTTAGAATAGTGCCTGGCATACAGTAGGGTCTCAATACACATTCGATGAATGAATGAGCAAACAAAGGAAACCTTGACTTTTCAGTAGGGTTAAGTCCAAGGGAAGAAAAATCAAATGAGTAGTCTGCACATGGAAAACCATCAAAATAGAGATTAAACAAATATAACTTCATGATTTCTTATATTAGATTTCTTATATTATGAATGTACTCAAGAAAAGCCTGCAAAGCCCATGACAAAGTTTCTGTGACTTTTACTGGTGCATGCTCAGTATTTAATCAGGCTACTCTCCAGCAGCTCATTTTTCTTAGCACCTCTTCTAGCATCCTGGGCATGAGCAGGGGTGAAGTCTTGATGGTGAAGGCATCCTTGGCCAGGTTCCCTGCATGAGTGCCAGCATGCCCAAAGCCATTTTCATACACGGTAGGGATGGAAGGAACCCAAAAAATCATTTTGCCAATAGCCTTGCCTTCAGAAAGCAATGTATTTGAACCATTCCAAACTACAGAGTCCATCTAGTTTTATGAGTTGTCCTTGTATAAAAATGTCTCTAAATGTGAGGCTTTAGTCAATCCCTTTGCACATCAGTTTCTTCATCTTAGAAAATAACATAAAAATGGTAACTATGTTATGTGACTGTTGTGAAGACTGAGAAAATACATGGCACAGTGCCTGGTATATGGTAAGTGCTTGACAAAGCTGTTATCACCTCAAGGAATGCCTCACTCATTTGAAAATAAAAGAGTAAGGCATTGTCTGAGGTCCGAGCATGTCCTCTTTGGGTACTGGCCTGGACTCCATGTCTGATTATGTCCTCAGTTCTCAGTCAATGAATGATCTGCTATTCCTAAAACTCTATGACGTTCCTAGATCCACTTCAACCTTCCCTTGAAAGTTCGCAGATATATAAAGTTCCAATTATGCAGTACAGAAGTGTATCTTCTCATTGTAGTGAGAACTGTCCCAGGCCTCCTCAGTATAAATAGGTGTTATAGTTAAAAATTATTAATGTCCAAAGTAAACGAAATAATTGAGCCTAATATGCTGGAATCTGTATTGGTTGAGGGCAGAGACAGCAGGCAGTAAGTGTGGTATAATGGAAAGAATAATAGACTAGAATTAAGAAACTTAAGGTTCAAGCACTAGTTTGCCACCTTTAGTTGGGTAAGCAACTTACTTCACCTCTCCTGTCCTCAAAGTCCTCTTTATAAACGGGGGTATGCACTAGAACAGTTCTTTTTAAAAAAATTTTTTTTTTTTTAAGCACTAAGACTCAATGATTCATGGAAGGGTGAAAGCCAAGAGGATGGATGCTAGCAAGGTCCAAGTGGACATAAAAGTATGAGGCCGGGGGGAAAAAGAACTTAGAATATTAATGTGAAGGGAAAACTATGGGTTAATAAATGAAAAGATTAAGTCAAACATTACCTATAATGGTGCAGACTAGGAGGATGAGCTGGGCTGACTGCCTAGAAAAAGACTAGTTCAGGAAAATTCTAAAAGACCAATAGGTTGGAGAACTGTTTATCTTTAGACTTGCACTACCAGCTGGGAAGAACCTTGTTTCTTCAGGGACTAGGGAGCTGAAGAGAGAAAGCATCTGGTGATCTGAGAGAGAGTGTGTGTGGAACTCCCAAATCAATCTTAACTCTAGACTCTTCAGGTGCCGTGTAGTTACAAACTACTCACACGGGAGGTTAAGAGCTCAAACTCTGAAGATGGGCCGCCTGGGTTCAAACCATGGTTCCATTACTTACTAGACTTGGGACCTTGGGTAAATGACCTAATCTCATTACACCTTAGTGTCTTCACCTGTAAAATAGGTGTAACACACAACCTACCTCACAGGGTAAAGATTAAATGAGCTAATGTATGGAAAGTCCTTTGGAAAGGGCCTGGCATCTGATAAGTACTAAATAAGAGTCAGCTTATTTATTTTCTGCTGCAGGAAGAAATGTTTACATGACTCCCTACAGAATCATTTCATTCTCAAGAGGATTTAGGGGCAGGGTTTCCTGCCCAAGGCTGAAACCTAGAAAACGAACCCCACTTCTGTTGCCTTTTGTTCCCAGGGTGGAGTCAAGAGGAAAAACTATTAGTCGGAAGGAAACCTATCACCACAGGTGGTGGTGCCTCTGGTATATTACCCCTGCTCCCATTGCCCTCCACATTCCCACGGCACCACTGCAAGAAGTGTCAGATGACTCCAGGGAACACTAGACTGACCAGCCCTTAAGGAAACAATACTCCAGGGCTTTCCTTTGGGGAGCGGAATGTACTGCTAAGTAATCCTAAGTAAAAGGTAGTTGTTTTTTGGTACCATGACATCAGGAATGATAATTCAAATTTTTTTACTCTTCTGGCTCTTTTACAGGCCCAGCAGTTCTCACTTCTTATATTTAACTGTCCTCAGTATATTTCTATTTACCTCTTATATTATGATGCAGTCTTAAATTTCTTTTCAAATGCAATGCAAAATGCTGTTAGCTCTACATGTCTACAGCTTCCCGGAGTCATCACACACAGGAAAATATAGTGTATCAATATGCAAATTACAAATAAAAGCAGCACTTCAATAGAATCAATGATATTTATGAGATAAAACCACACCCTTCCAATGTTCTTTTTTTATAACTGAGCTCTGAGGACCCATTTTATTTCCATCGCAAGGCAAAATACTCATTTGAAGTTGACCAAAAATTCAGGTCTGTTGATGAGACTCTAAAGTTTCTTGAATTTTCAAACTCCAGTTTAGGAAGTGAGCAATCATTGTCCACTGACTATTCTTAACTCAACAGTCTGTGAAGATTTACTTTATAAGACAAGGGAAAAAGAAACTGCCATCAACCTGGTCCACTGACTTTCTCTAATGTGCTAAAGGACAGAAGATGCTTCATGGAGGCAATGAGGGGAAGGCAGGAAAGGAGACTGGTGCGGCCGAGGAAGCAGCACAGGCTGGCCTGACTGACAAGCTTCCCTGGCTCCTTCCCCCACATGCTCTGGACTTTCCTGATAGGAGCTGGAAACTTAATTTTTTTTTTTTTTTTTAGCTTTAATGACATTTCTAAAACAACCTTCCCAATAAATAAAGGAAGCTATATTTGAAATTAAAAACTCTAAATATATGAGCTAATTAAAAAAAAAAACCACTCATGAGGTTGAGTTTACGATGATCCCTCCGATTTTGATATAATTTTGGAAAACTTTCCATGATTTCCTCAAGTGTGCAACAAAAACTTTCAAAGGAGACCCAATTCAAATGATGGCTTTTTTGTAACTGATTAGGTCTTGCCTTAAAGAATGGCATTATAATTATAAAGCTTAGCTTCAATTAGTAAATTTTTCTGAAAACAATGCTGAAGAGAAAACATACTTCCTAAACAGTTATACTGGGTCCTAAAGGTTTCAGAACAGTTATACAAAAAGTTCTGTTATCCATTTGTGATACTAATTTACATATTCCTTCATATGGGCAAATAAGATTAACACCACCAAAAAAACTAAAATCCCCAAATATCCCTCTATTCTTTCTCAAAAAGTAAACTGCAAGTTTTACCACAGCTTCCACTATTCTCAAAAGAAACTCTTCAAATGTCTGTCAGGCTAGGAATTCCTATGCTGCCACTGATGCTGTGACCAAATTTAAATGTTTCAGAAGTTCAACTTATTGGCAAAATTATGCATTTAGAAGCACTAAATAAGTGCACTATGATACAGAGAGAAAAGACTAAATTGAAAGCAAGATATACCTAGACAAAAAACTTAGCCAACAGGGATCTGATTAAAAGCAAGCTGGACCCAGATGCTTTCAAAAAACTGACAGCTATTTATGCAAATATCTATTGTGGATAGGGATCACAGGAGAGAAAAAGGTAGAAAAGATACATTCAAATCCTTCCTATAAACAAAAACACTCATCACCACGCGTGTTTGGAATCAGGAGATTTGAATTTGACTGTACCAGATGTGTTTCTCAGGCAAATTTCTTAATCCCTCTGAGCCTTAGTTTCTCAATCTGCAAAATGAGGATAATAAAACCTATCCCACGGTTTTAGTAGGGATTGAATTAAATGAGACAATATAGGAAAAGTCTCTCTCATCAGACGTCAATAAATGTTATTCCCTTTCAGATCAAGAAAGTTGTTATCTCTTAAGTAGTAAATGCAGCGTTCTACCTGGAAAGGATCTGTCTTCATCACCCCCATGCAGAGGAACTCCCTTATTTTCTGGCATATACTTCTTGGTAATGGGCAAGGACATCAGCCGGATGTGATATATGAGTGAGCGCCAGGTGTGAGCTCCAGAAAGCACTGGTTCAGGTGGTAAAGGGCTAAAAGGTTGAATCACAAAGTAGGCAGTGAGCAAGATTAATCCCAGGGTTGCAAGGACCTACGAGGGAATAGGAAAAGCATTAATAATTGAACCAGGGGGGAAAAAAAAACTTCAATGCCAAGAAAATAACAGGCTTCTTCTACTATTTCCAATGTGCTTTAAGAACTAATCCATTTTCATAAACAAGCCATTTACATTTACTTCTGAAAGCATTTAAAGTTCGAGAATTATGAGGACTATAAAGCACACTACACTTCTATGATATGACCAGGGGATATGTCTGACCACCATTCAAAAATACACACGAGTACAGTTTAAATATAAAGACACAGATTTCATCTAGGACATTTAACAAAAATCAAATTTCCTAGTAACACATGGTAACAAGGCCAATTTATTCACAGAAAAACCAAGGTTCAATGGCGGAATCAGTCAACAGTTGTATATGAAGAGAAATATAAAGAGTCTGGGCTCCATCTAAGTTTTTCCAAGTCAGAACACAATTTTACCTTATACACAGCTATAAGGAGAGGATACTGGGGTGGCCTCCTCTGAGGTTCATTCTTTTCCAGCAACTGTCTGATAAATTTTTCAATTGCCTTCTCTGACATGCCACATTGGTGGCCTGTCTGTCTCACCAAATCAACAGTTTCTGAAAGTTTGTCATAAATGCTGAGCTCATTGGCAGCAAGATCCATGTCTCCGAATGCAAAATCCCTGAGAGAGAGAATAAACGTAAAAAGAAAGATGGTTTTTTTAAAAGTACTTTCTCCTCACAGCTATTTGCTTTAAAACAGTGCTTCTTGACCATCTGTGGGGAAGAATCAGTTTTGTTTTTCCCAATCCATTGTAGGCCAATACTTTTGTAAAACACAATGAATATGTCGAGACAATGTCAAACTTGCTACACAAGTTTTTAAGTGTGACTTAACTGTAAGCTAGTAATGAACAGTTTACAGACCAGCACTGGTTTCCAACCACTTCGAGGAACACTGGTCTAGAGCACAATAAATCCCTAATGGGACTCTGAAACACTAGTGTCATCCAAAATGATTTCTGAAACCAATCACAAAAAATCTGCTACTGGTAATTTACTAAATCAAAAGAAATGGAATATGGAGAGTGTTGTTGATCAATTCTTTCTTTCCATTTACATCAGATAGACTTGTGAAACAAAAAAATTTAACTTCCACAGCTGAAAGTCTTTCTGTAAGTAAGGTTTTATTGAGCCAAAAATGCTAGCCAAAAAGTTCACACCGGTCTTGGGGGAATGGAATCTAAACCACAAGCAGCATGGGTAAGCAGAAAAGACAACATGTCCACTGTCCTAGGGCTTTGCAAGTGTTTTTATACATCAAGTTGGGGAAGGGGGAATGGGGGGGGGGTGAGAAAAAGGTAGTCTGAAAGAAATTTACACTAGCTATAGGCAAAGGGGTGAGAAAAGGTGAAACGGGGCCAGCTCTGGGGTACAAGCAGAGTCCACATAAAGAAATGTTCGTTCCTGTAGATTGGCTGTGGGTAGCCGTCCAGAAACAACAAGTAGAGGCTCCTGGAGTTTGATGGTGCCTGGCTAAAATAATCTGCAGAAATAACCACCTGGAAATTAATCCAAAGTTCTAATAGGCAATGGATGTGAGCAGTCTTTTGTTATCTGGCTAGCAGCCATTAACAGACTAACAGTTCTGTCTCTTTCTCTCACTCTCCTGTCAGGTGCTGTGATTTAATTTAGAACATCTTGGAATTTTCTCCTTATCAGATCTTTTAGCAACACAAGAGAAGGAACTGATCACTGTAGGTAAGATTTACTGTGAGAAACATGCTGATTCGCTTTGTTCCTGGCAGGGCAAGGATTTCAGGCAACACGAAAACCATAGCACGGGAGCTCTTCAGACCTAGCAGGCTGCAGTCCTCATGCTTTTCTGCAAACATAATTTTAGACAATAAGGGGCATTTTACTTGTAGAAAACTAAACTTAAGAGCTAAAATTATAAAACTCAGGAAAAATCTTCATGACACTAGATTAGGCAATCATTTCTTAGATATGGCACCAAAAGCATGAGGAGCAAAAGAAAAAATAAACTGGACTATGTCAAAGATTAACTAGTTTTGTGCTGCAAATGATATTGTCAATACTTTAAAAAACCTAACACCTATAACTAATTTCAAGAATCAATTTGTTCTCATAGTTATTTTAAGACAAATGGTTTCACAGTGACTATAGAACCAAAGGTAAAATGGCAAGTAAAATTCTCTCTGTATCATTTGTAAAATGAAATTGAATAGTTCTTTAAAAAAAAAAAAGTGCTTGTGTTATAGAACACTAATATTTTTCTTTATTTATAGGAGGAAAGACAGTGGTTGGGATTTATGCTATTTTTTTTTTTTTTTTAATGTAGAAAGTCCTCTTATTTCACGTACTTCATCACCAAAGTGCTTCTACTCTCAAAAAGGACTGGCAGGGTATAAATCTATTTTTTTCAGGAAGGAGATGCCACTACTTGTAGAGCAGAGGGTAAAAGTCATGTAGCTCCAGCAGAGAAAAGGAGGCCTGAAATGCCACAAGCCAGCACACACCTCAGCAAATCTCCTCTTCCAGCAGCGTCTCCTAATGACTCCAGATTGGTCCCTTTTATGTCTATAAACCTTTTAGTCCACTAGTTCTGAAGCATGCCTGAGCATTCAAATCACCTGGACGGCTTTTAATGAATATTCATACCAAGGCCTCAACCCAGAGCAATTAAATCAGACTTCTAATGGTGGATTGACAGGAAGGTAATCAAGAGTTTTAGGAACTGGGGGAGGAAAGAAGGAACTCCACAAACTAAAGGAGATACATCCTTTCCCCAAACTCTCTGCTCTTGCTCAAAGTGCTTTTTAAAGGCCATATAGACCTTCATTTGAAGCTTTAGATAGAAGCATGGTATAAACTCTATTTAAAAATGTTTATTTCAACAAATGGTGCTGGGACAACTAGATATCCACATGCAAAAGAATGAAGTTGGACTCCTCCTTCTACCTTCCACAAAAATTAACTCAAAATGTATCAAAGACCTAAACCTAAGAGCTAAAATTATAAAACTCTTAGAAAAAAACAGGAAAATCTTCATGACACTAGATTAGGCAATGGTTTCTTAGATATGGCACCAAAAGCATGAGGAACAAAAGAAAAAAAAAAATTGGACTATGTCGAGGATTAACTATTTTTGTGCTGCAAATGATACTATCAAGGAAGTGAAACAACCACCCACAGAATGGGGGAAAATATTTGCAAGTCATATCTGATAAAGGACCAGTATTCAGAGTACATAAAGAATTTTTATAATTCAATAATAAAGACAAATAACCAAATTAGAAAATGAGCAAAGGATTTAAATTGACTTTCTCCAAAGAAGATATACAAATGGCCAATAAACTCATGAAAAGATATTCAGCATCATTAGCCATAAGAGAAATAAATATCAAAACCACAATGAGAATGGTTATAACAAAAAGTCAGATAATAACAAGTGCTGGCAAACATGTTAAGCAACTGGAACCCTTGTACAGTGCTGGGAATGTAAAAGAGTACGGCTGCTTTGGAAAATAGTTTGGTAGTTCCTCAAAAATTTAAACACAGAGTAACCATATGACTCAGCAATTCCACTTTTAAGTATGAACCCAAGAGAATTTAAAACATATATTCACACAAAAACTTACATGTGAATGTTCAAGCAGCATTATTCATAATAGCTCAAAAATGGAAGCAATCCAAATGTCCATGATCTGCTGAATGGATGGATAAAACGTGCTATATCCATACAATCGAACAGTGAAAAGTAATGAAATACTGACACACGATACAACATAAACAAACCCTGAAAACATTTTGTACGTCAAAGAAGACAGTCATAAAAGACCACATATTACATGACTGCATTTATATGAAAAGTGAAAAACAGGCAAATCTACAGAAACAAAAAGTAATTAGTGGTTGTCTAGAGGAGGGAGCAGGGAGGAATGAGAAATAACTGTTAATAGATACAGGATTTCTTTCTAGAGTGACAGAAATGTTCTAAACTTAGATTGTGGTGATGGTTGCACAGCACTGAATATAATGAAAACCAGTGAACTGTGCATACTAAGTGGTTGAATTTTATGGTATATAAGTTATATCTCAATAAAGATGTTTTCAAAATGTATATTTATAGAATTTGAACTTCCCCCCATTGTGGTATGGCACTACACTGTCATAATTTTGCTAAGTTAGTTGGTTTATTTCCACATCCAAAAAATAAGAGGACTGAACCAGAAGGTTCAAGTCGCCACTAGTTTTAAAATTTTAAGAATGTATGAATACTGCAGCAAGTAGAACAAATTCAATTCACTAAAAACTAAAGACTTATGTCCAATTGCATTCCTATATTACCATTTCCAGTTATGCCGCCCTATATGCCAGGTACTATGCTAAGCACTCAAGGAACATTATCTCAGTAAACTGACACAGCGATGCTATATGGTAGATGTGATTAATTCCACTTCACAGATGTTGGAACTAAGGCTCAGAAAGGTTTCATTACTTACCAGGATGTGAACCCAAGTGTGACTTCAGGGTTGGTGCTTTTAACCTTTATGCATACTGCCTTCCTTACCAAGTATTTTCCTGTTCTGAGATGGCAGTTCCAAAACCACAACACTGTGTTCCTTGATTATCACATAAGAGTGGCTGAGAACTGGAAAGAGATTGACTAAAGTGATACTGGAAAAATAATAAAATGATAACTTATTACAATATTTTTCACATCTTGCTTTTGTGACTAGTGATTCCAGAGAGGGCTTTTTCCCATTAAATTAACAAAGATATTCTACACAAGAAAGCAGAGATAATATTCATTTAAGAACACTACAATAAATTATCCAACAATACCTAGTCAAGATCCACTAAAACTCAGTAGAAGACCAGAAAGGAGAGCAGAGGGAATTCTAGGAAAAAATCCAGTAAAAAATTTTAAAGTGTTAGAAGGCGGGGCACATGTAGGTATCCCTCAGGCAGAAGCAAACAATATACTGGTGTGCCCCTATGGGAACTATGAAGGGGACAGAGTACAGGCGAGGCTAAAAGGAGGACCAACTATCATCATTTGATGACTGGTTTATAACTTTTGTAAACCTCTGCCTACTTTTGATACACATAAAAACCTCATCAGGGAGTGTCTGAGATCTTGCTCCCCAGCATGTCATCAGTTTGGCTCAAATAAAATCTCATAAAAATTTTTTTCAGTCTCATTAAACTCCCAGTTTAAACTACAAAAACGAGGGGTTTTTTTGCAACTCAAGTATATATTACGATACTGGAAATATTTTTGCAAGCTGTACATCCTCCTTCCCTGAGATTCTGACACATTTCTGAAGTTATCGGGAAGGGCAGTTACTAATAATTTTGTGAAGTTTCTAAGAGCACATGGGGATCTTGATAATAAGACCTCCTTTTACCTTCAGTTAGGTTAGGTCAGTGGTTCTCAGCTGGTGGCGATTCTGCCCCCCAGGAAACCTTTGGAATGTCTGGAGACATTTTTGATTGTCACACTTGAAGAGTACTACTGGCATCTAGTGGATATGATGTTAATTAAACAACAACAAAAAACCTTATCCCTTTAGGTCAGGGTTTCAAACTAGCAGAGCAACTCCCACTCTGTGATCTACTGAAAATCAGCCCTCAACACAAGAGTTTGTTTAAAAATAAAATCATGCCCCTTAAAAAAAAAATCAAACACAAAAGTCATGGCTAAGCATCAAGTATGAGTGAAATGAACTGAGGCTTGATGTCAATCTCTTTACCTCCAGAAAGAAGGTCCAACTCTGGCAGAAATGAGCTTTGCCACAGAGGGAAGTTCCGAAGAGTGAGCTTGACTCTCAACAGTGGCTTATACCTGCAAGGGCACAGGCAGGATCACCAGCAGAGTTACAAAAAATCAAGATATCATGCACCACTCTGGACATACTGAATTGCCAGAACCTCTGGGAGAGAGACCCAGGTGAAGAAGTTTTCAAACCTTTTTCCCTGATTAGAAGTACACCTCCAATTAGGAGACATTGCTTTAGAACAATAGTTCTCAACTCAGGGTGATTTTGCTCCCCAGGGGACATTTGGTAATCTCTGAAGACATTTTTGATTGTCAAAACTGGCATCTTGTGGGTAAAGACTAAACATCCTACGATGAACACTTCAGTCCCTACAACAAAGAACTGTCCTGCACAAAATGTTAAAAGTGCTAAGATTAAGAAATTCTGTTTTCAAGAGAAGCCTGGGGGAGGTAAGCCAGGGGGCTGTTCACTTCTGAAGGAGTATTTCAGGAATAGGAGAAAGAAACTGACAGTGCAGATGAAATGTTCTCCACAATTCCTTCTGTGTCTCAGTCTAGGAAAAAACAGGACAGAGGCATAACTAATAGAATAACTGATAGAAGGTATCAATAAAAATGTCTGTTTAAAGCAGAAAACAGGTTAAGAGGTCAGAATAAATGTAAATCTCTTCTTGGCTCTGTTTAATATAGGATTAATTCCTCTATTGATATAAATATGTCCTAAAACTGATATGACATCACCCTGGAGGTTCTCAGCTTTCCAAATTAAACAGCTATGCCAGCTAGGCAACTCTAAAGTATAACACTAATTCATCTAGTTAAAACACAAAACACTGTAGAGTTCAGAAAGTAAGTTTTAAAAGCCCATCTAAATAAATATGACCAAATTTCAACAGTGGGAGCAATAACTAAAGTAATATTAAATATTCTTTTTCCCCTACTAGGTTCTTTAGTATTATGCAAGCTATGTAGTATGATAAATCATTCTTTAGTGTTATGAATATATTCCATTCTATTTTGTCCAATGACTCCCATTAATTGAAGATATGTTCTACTACAGGGAAAAAATGTGGTCTTTGGATTGTAATAAAAACCACTAAGAAATAATAAACATATTTAAAGGGAAAATAACTGATAACATTAAAACATGATTTAAAAGAGCAGCAATTTAAAACTGCAGTAAGTGCTTAAGATTTACCATTGAGATAATTCTACTTTTTTGCACTTTTATCATCACTTGAATCTAATGGTTCTCTTTCTGAACAACTCTGCCCAGTGAGATTTGAAGAGTCTAGTACTCTCTTCACTCTCTCGAAAATATGCTTCTTTCATTATTCTCCCAACTTTCTATGTTGAAAAATTATAAGCCTCCAGGAAAACTGAAATAGTACAATGAACATCTTAGATTCGCCAGAGATTCACTAAAGTTCACCAATTGTTAACTGGCCGTATTTGCTATTTTTATAAGAACCATTTAAAAGTCAGTTGCAACACATCACAAAACCATTTGTAAATGTTTCAGCATGCATCTCCTAAGAATAAGGGCCATAGTCAAAAAATGCCAGATAGCTTTTAAGAAACCTAGGACCCAACCAATGTGCAACACATATCACAGTTGTTGTGTCTCTTTGGTCTACTTAAATCTAGAACAGATCCTGGCTTTTTTTTTTATGACACTGATATATTTGAAGCAGGATCCCCTATATTTTTAAACTTATCTCTACCTGCTCCTATCTTCACTGTTTCCAGTTTCTACTATTTAAAAAATAATAATCCTTCCTCTCTAGATCTCCATTGGTTGTGCTCTCCCTCCCGCTTCACAGACAAGCTCCTCAAAAAAAAGGCAAAGCATCCCTTCATCTCATTTCTCAGGTCTCCACTCATTTATTAATCTGCTGAAATCCTATTTCTGTCCCTCTCACACCACTGATATTGCTTTCACTAAGGTCACTGATGGCTGTCTACATGCCAAGTCCAAAGGACATTTTTCAGTTATCAATTTACCTGAACTCTCTGCAACAACTGCTGTGCTTACCCACTATTTCCCTCAAGTACTCTCAAGTCCTGGCATGATTCTCTTGTTCTCTTCCTAGTCTATGTCCCTAAATGCTGGCATTTATCATCACAGTTGTCTTTGACCTTCTCATTCCCTCCATGGCTTTAATGACCAACTATTAGTGAGTCCCAAATCTCTTCTCCAGTTTAGAACCCTCTACAGAATTCAAGATCCAAATTTCCTATAGTTCCCTAAATGTAATGTGTCCATAATTGACTTATTTTCCTCCTGCAACTGATTTCTCCTATTCCTTTTCTTAATTAATGGAAACATCAGTTCTCCAAATATAAAACCTCTAGTCCTTCTTCCTCATCCCTACCAATGAACCAATCACTAAATCCTCAATTCTACCTCTTGTATAGTTCACATTCATCACATTCTTCACCTCCTCTTTAGCTCTGCATTAATGGCAGTTAAGGCCCTCAACTTCTCTCCCACAGATCATCGCAAAGATATATTTAATCTCTATACTTCCAGGCCTCCTCCTCTTCGCTGATCTCTTGATTCTCTCCACAAGTTTTTTTTCTGTAACACAAATTGGTTCACATTACTCATTTATTTAAAGTTTCTTGACTCTCCATACCCGGCTGGGAACAATTCAGCATGGTGGTTAAGAACATAGGCACTGGAACTGGAAAAAGCTGGATGAAATTCTAGATTCTCCATCTACTGTGTGGCCAGGAAACTCTCTAAGCACTTGAGTTTTCACTGTGTCTTTCAAACAATGCTGTTAAGGGACTATTAGATGATGTACGTAAAACATTTGTCCCAATACCAAAATTAAATACTTATTAATTTTTGTAAGATGAAGTCCCAATTACTTAGCCTGGCCCTTTAGGATCTGGTCACTGCCTTCCTGTTCAGTCTCATTTCCCATTCCTTCCTCACATTCTTCACTGTCACAACAGTTCACATCTTTTTGCTTTTGTACACATAATTTCCTCTGCCTACAAAGCCTAGCCCCCAGTGCTTTGTCCAATGACTGAACTCTTTATTCCAAAATTGATTTTTGCCCTTTGAACCTTAAACACTACTCTGTCTTACATCTATTTTTGTCTCCTTTTGACACTAAATTGTTTCTTTAAAGCACAGATAGAGAAAATAACACAAGAAACTAACAGCCATCATGGAAATTCATCTGAGACATGGAACTTGGTTAATGTCTGTTAACAAGTTTATAGAAAGGAACTAAAGTGATCTTTCTCTTCCCAAACTAATTTAATGTAACTAATGCTTTATTCATTTTTTTATTCTTATTATTAAAAAAATAAATCAGCCTAATGAAGGTTTAGGTGAGCAGGTCAGGAACCTTACACTTGAACATTCTCTGTGGTGTTATATAGTAGCTGTGGAGGAACAGGAATTCAAACTGGGTCTTGAAAATTGTTTTGGTCCAAAGCAGAATTGGCCTAAAAGGGCCTCTCTTTGACATGCAAGGTGGGCTATATGAACTTCAGTCAAAACTCTGATGTAATGAAGGGGACTGACCAAGTTTTGCCACTCTTAAGCTGCCTTCTGGAATATCGGTTTTAAGCTGGTAATTAAGAAAATACTCAGAAAGCACCTTTTGCCTTCAAC